TTTTTTTTTTTTTTTTTTTTTTTTTTGGTACCGGGGATTTAACTCAGGACCTTGAACTTACAAGGGAGTCATGGAGCCACAGAGCTAAATCCCTGGCCCTGTTCCCTCTTTCTTAATTTTTTAGGGGAGTTTGAGGATTCTTATTACTTTAAATGTTTGGTACAGTTCACCAGTGAAGCTGTGTGGTCCGTGGATTTTCCTTGTAGGGAGGGTTTTGTTTTGAGACAGGGTCTCGCTGTGTAGTCCAGGCTGGCCTTAAACTTGAAGCAATCCTCCTGTCTCAGCCTCTGGAGTCTGGGGATGACAGGCCTGCACCACCCACACTGGTTGGGAGGTTTTGAATGACTGATTCAAACTGCTTGCCTCTTTAGATTTTCTCTCTCTTCATGATTGAGTCTGGGTAGGGATTGTGTTTCTGGGAATTTGTTCATTTCCTCTCAAATTTATTGGAGTCTGATTGTTCACAGTAATTCTCTTATAATTATTTTTTATCTCCGCAGAATCAGTAGTAATAGTCTTTTTGTTTTTAGACAATCTCAGTATGTAGATCGTCAGGCCAGCCTGGAACTCACAGCACTCCTCCTGCTTCAGTCTACCAAATGCTGGGATTATAGGTGTGCCCCACAAGGTCTCACTATGTAGCCCAGGCTTACCTCAAACTCGTGGTGATCCTCCTGCCTCAGCCTCTCAAGTGCTGGGACTACAGGTGTGCACCGTCATACCTGATGTTCATTTCTGACTTTTGTAATTTCAGTCTTTTTTTTGGGGGGGGGTCAAATAACCAAGTTTTTTTTGTTCTGTTTTGTAGACTGTCTCCATTATTTCGTTAGTCTCTGTTTTATTTTTGTGATCTTGTATTAGCTTTGGACTTAGTTTGTCTTTCTACTTCCACTAGTTGTGGAGCTGTTGATTTTAGCCTTTTCTTCTTGTGGAATGTGGCACTTACAGCCCTGCAGTTCCTCCTTTGCATGGCTTTTTCTGCATCTCGTAAGTGCTGCTCTGTGGTGTGTTCATTGTAGTTTATTTTTGTGGTTTCTCTAAGTGTTTTCTAATTTCCCTACGATTTCTTCTATGACTCATTGGTGGTTTGAGAGTTATAGGAGACAGTTCTAGAAATTCATTTCTTATCATATATGTTGTATCTTTAATGTATGAGTTTTAAATTATTTATTTATTTATTTATTTATTTTTGAGACAGGGTCTTGCTATGTAGCCCAGGCTGGTCTTGAATTCTAGGTAATCCTCCTGCTTCAGCATCCTGGGGGCTGGGATAATAGATGTTCACCACTACGCCTGGCCAAAATTTTAAATTTTGTCTGGGTGAGGTGGCCCATGCCTGTAAATTCCAGCACTCTGGGAGGCTGAGGCAGGAGGATTGCAAGTGAAGCCCAGCCTGGGCAACTTGGTGACATAGTGAGACCTTGTTTCAAAGTTTAAAAATTTAAAAATAAAAAAGAGCTGAGGATGCAGTTCGGTGAGAAGGCCCTGGATCGAATCTCCAGTAACACACACACACACAGTGGATTAGGCTACAAGTGATCCTTGCCTTTCCTTTCCCTTGTGTTGTGCAAGAGAGTGGTGTCCTCCAACAGCCCAGGATTCTCGCAGGGAACGCAGATGACCTCTATCACCCCCAGGGGACAAGTCTCACAAACACTAAGCCCTGAAGCCTTTGATGAAAAGCTGTGGACTCCAGCATCCCACTTACCTAAGCTCAGGCCTGGTGAATGCTTAGTTAGAGTCAGGACAGTGGTCACCTGAGGCAGGGGCAGCGTGCCGACTGCAAGAGGGTACAGACCTGGTACGTGGTCAATATTTCATTTCTTCATAGAGGTGAAAGATTAATTTTGAAGTTTTCTTTTCTTCTTCTTTTTTTTTTTTTCCTGAGACAGAGGCTCACTATGTAGCCCAGGTTGGGCTTGAACTAGTGGGAATCCTTCTGCCTCAGCCTCCTGAATCCTGGGATTACAGGAATATTACCACCATGCCTGGCTTGTGTTCATTTTTTTATACTAAAGGTGTGTGCACTTTGGTGTGTGTATGTTATACTCCCCACCCCCGTACTGGAGATTGAACCCAGGCACCCTCTACCACCAAGCTGCATCTCCAGCCCTTTTGTTTTTTATTTTTTTGTTTCTTTCTTTCTTTCTTTTTTTTTTTTTTGGTACTGCGATCGAACTTGGGTCCTTGCTCTTGCAAGGCAGTGCTGGAACCATTGAGCTAAATCCCTGGCCCTCTCCAGCCCTTTTTATTTTAAGGCAGGATTTTGCTTAAACTACTATGTTGCCCAGGCTGGCTTCGAACTTGTGATCCTCCTGCCTCAGCCTCCCAAGTCGCTGGGATTACCAGCACAAAGCACTTCGCCAGCCTGCAACAAAGAGCTTTGAGCATCTTGTGTGCGAGAATCTTAGAGTAGAGTGTGTTCCTACAAGTGGAGGCGATGGGTAGAGGATGGGTGCTTTAAATTCTAGTGGGAACTGTTTGTTACACAATGGGTGAATTTCAAAAAATAAGAAAAGAATTATGCCAGGAAATAAGATGTGGATGGCGTGACAGTGCCGGGGAGGGAGGGAGTGGTCGGTTCTGTTTTCATCCCCAGAACATCTTGGATATCATCAACTGCAACTTGATGTCGGTGACGCAGGTCAGTCGTGCGGAGTGGGCGGGGTCCAGGGGCAGCCTGGCTGTGACCACCCGGAGCATCCCCCTCCTGCGGGGTGCGGGTGGCCGGGACAGCCCCCGAGGGGGCAGGGAGAGCGCCTGGAGGAGACCAGCCGGGAACACAGGCTCCTCCTCCGCCTGCAGATGACCCGGCTCATCCTGCCCCAGATGGTCAACAGGTAAGAGCCGCTCAGCCACTCTCTGTCATTGGCGCCCCCAGCCTGCAGGCTCCCTCCTTTCTCCAGCCCCCTCCCTGCCGCTTCCAAGTCTTTTTTTGTTTTGCTTTGTTTTGGTTTGTTTTTGTCAGCCTAAACTGACCTCCGACTCTTGACCCTCCTGACTCAGCCTCAGGGGTGCTGGGATTATGGGCATGCACCGCCATGCCAGGCCCAGTACCCCCTCCGCAGCCCTTTCAGATTAGGGCTCCAGCCCAGGGTGAGGACCACCACCCTGTTCCCCCCCGGGCAAAGCCCACCTTCCGACATGGTTTCCTCCACCAGGGGCAGAGGTGTCATCATCAACATGTCCTCTGTGGCCGGCTACAGGAGCTTTCCATTTCATACCTTATACTCAGCCACTAAGGTACCGGGACCCGGACTCCGGGGGCGGCCCGGGCAGGGAGCTTGTGGTGGAAAAGTGCTGAATAGGGAGCGGGGACAAAGCGGGACAGAAGGACCAGGCCAGGGCTCAGGCCCTCAGCCCTGGGGCCTTCTCTCCTTCCTTCGCAGGCCTTTGTGCAGTGCTTCTCAGAGTCGGTGTCGGCAGAGTACTCCGCTCAAGGTGTCACCATCCAGGTGCCCGACTGGGGGTGGGGCGGAGGCTCAGGGGGATGTGGCTGGGGTAGCGGCCCTGGAGGAGAGGGAGGAAGAGGGTACTAGATGGGTGGCTTAGCGGAGAGCCACCGGGTGTTGTCACGGGGTTGTGGTCTCACCTTAGGCGGGGACAGGTGGGGCTTTAGGGGCGGGGCCTAGGCCTGGTGTGGCTCCCCCCCCTCAGGTCGTCACCTGGGGGCGGGGCCTAGG